AGTTGATCTCGCTAAATGTTGGGGCGAGCAAAATATTCAGCGTAGTTTTGCAAGTGAAAGGAACTGGCGTTCGAGCGTGTGTTCAGGTTCTTGTGCATGTCTGTATCCATGGCGCCCAAAACCTCGAAAACCGTGCAGCTGCCGTTTCTGCCTTGTTCAGGTCTTGGGTGATGTATAGATCGCGCTTGTTCATGAAAACTTATTTAATTCAAGCTATAGCCACCGCCTTGAATCATTTCACAGCCAGAAGAGTGTACTTAAATAATTGTGTACTCAGACTTCAGGCTAGTGAATTGCAGTAAATAAACTTCCCACAGGAGACATTTCTTCTCTTCAGTCTATAGAAGACGAACTGTAGTAGAAGCGTTGGCTTTTCCAGGCAGCTTTCCCAAAAACCTGCAGGGTGAAAAAGTGATCCTTCCCTCAAAATAGGGGATGTTACCAGCGCGCCCACCGTATCTCTGGTGCCTGCTGCCTTCCATTGTCTGAGTTGCCAGTTAGAGTGCAGTGACGGGACATCATAGTGCAACAGGGTGAAAAGGGCAGCTGTAGAATTTTTTACCGCATTTCCCGGAGAAATGGTCACCACTCTGTTTCCATGACACTCTTCCTTCTGAGAGGAACATACATGGCTCTCAGAAGCCATCTTTGGGGTAATCTGGCATTCATAATGGGGATGGGGGCTATTTTTGGAAACAGTCCCTCAATCAGGGACATCTCAGCCTTAGAGGAATCTTTAAAATCACCCGGCAAACCGTCTTTTTCCAAGTGCAACCAAACTTTGTTTCTATTCTTGTCAATTCCAGAAATGCTTTATCTTTATTTCCAGAAAGTCAATATTTAATTAGCAATAGGCTCTAAGAGTGTCAGCCCTTCAGCGTCTTTCAAGAACTGATGGTGTAAAAACAAACGTGTAAATGCACCAAGGGATCCCTGTGATTTATAGAAGCTCTACATTGAACAATTTTGAAAAGGGAAGACCTTTTTGGTGATAAGAATATTCATTTTTTTTAGGGGCGCCTGGGTGGCTTAGTCGGTTAAGCGTCCGACTTTCGCTTAGGTCATGATCTCGCGGTTCGTGGGTTCGGGCCCCCGCGTCGGGCTCTGTGCTGACTGCCAGCTCAGAGCCTGGAGCCTGTTTCAGTCTGTGACTCCCTCTCTCTCTGACCCTCCCCTGCTCACGCTGTCTCTCTCTCTCTCCTAGAAATAAAAAAAAAAAAAAAAAAAAAAAGAATATTCATTTTTTGACTTTTCTGTTCTGTAATATGCATTTGTGGTGGGGGCAGAGGGATGGGAGAGGGGAGGGGACATCCCATTCTCCTATGGAGCATAAAATGTTTAAGCTTATTTTACGTGCTAGTCACACGTTCCCTAAGCACTTGATTTAAAAATGAGCAGAATCCAGTGGGTACCCTTCATTGGCCCTTCATGGTTTGGGGGAGGGCGGAGGACAGGGAATAGACCTCATTTTGGTTTCGGTAGTTAAATGCTTCCAACAACCTTACTCCATATTCCATTTAAATTAAAAAAAGAAGAAGAAGAAGAAGAAAAAGCTTTCTATAATGGTTGGTGAAATTTACATTTCATCCCTTGCCTAAAACTACTTTTAGGCTTATTTTCTCTTTTCAGAGCTTTGTGCTGTCCCCTGTCCCCCCCCCCCCCTTAGGTATTACAATTGGTCTTAGAAATGGCAATCCTTCCCTTTTGTTCTGCAGGTTGGTTTGATAGGTTGTGTCTGCACATTTGAGAGCAGCACATTTTATTTATTTTTTTTTAGCACCTAAACAATAATGTAACCACATCACGGCCTTTTCAGTCACATCGTTGACCCCCGTCAACACAAATGCATTAATGTTGTATTCATTTTATCCCCTACAACACTTGAATGCATTAATATCACTCTCTGTAGCATTTTAATTTAATTAGAACAGTGGTTATAATCCTCTGGGGGAAAATCGTTATCCCGTCTGTAATGTTAAAATAAAACACCTCTGGTTTTCACCCGACTGACAATTTGCTTTTGAGGTGACTGAGCTGTACGCGGGTGCTCCCTCCTCTTTGTTGGGGTCGGCCCACAGAGGCAGTTATGAGGAAATAGGTCTCCTTTATTTGAGAAATTGGGTGTTTTAGTTTCCTTAAGCCTCTCCGTCTAGATGTCTCCATCTGACATTGTGGTGTTTGTTTCCTATTTCTAATTGCTAGTAGTGTGCTGGTTATGCCTTGTAGATGTTAAGTGCATGGTTGTAGGAATAGATGAAAAAATGTGAACTGTGTGAGTTGCCCTAGAAATTAACAAAAAGAGAGACAAAGCCTGCCATGTGGGGTTTCCAGGTGTGTGTTTTGTTCTGTTAGGAAAGAAGCCCACATACTGGGCGATGTCCTTTCTTGGGTCCCTTCAGGGCTCTACTGGCTGCTGACCTCAGGGTCAGGGTAGGGGTGTAATGGCTGCTAGCGAACTGCTCAAGGCCCTAGAAGTGCATTTTGCTTCAACCCCTGCCCCCCTTCCTGGTCAAGTACTCTTTCTTCTGATACTGACAAATCTCTTCGTTGAACCTTTTAAAAGAGCTTCCCGTCCCACACTTAGGGTGTTGCAATATTGCTGAGTAGAAACCATCATCTGGAATGAGAGTCCAGAAGCTGTCTCCATCTAGAATTGTTTGGACATGGGGCGTGTCATAAAATCCCAGGGCAGGCACTGAAGTGTGGCTTTTCAGTATAGCAGTAAGGATAGGTGACCACGCAGATGTGCACACACACCAGGGGCTCCCTCCTGAGAAGGTACAGTTGATAATTTAGCCAATCAGAATACATACATTTTAAAGGCGGTACCTAACTTGACTCTTATCAGTACGCTAGAGGTAGATTTCCCAAGAAACCAAGTAAAATCTGCTTTGAGGGCTGGGTTTCTCCCCTTTTTGACTTTGAAGGATTTGGTGAAGGGTGAGGGAGCTGGGATGACGTGGCCTCTCACTCACAGGGACCAGTTGTGGGATCTGGAGAGTTTCTCCTTGCTCTAAGAGATAGTCATGTTATGAAATGCTGCCTTTTCTTTTTTTTTTTTTTCTCGCACTCGTGCCATGCCATTTGAAAACTCTTTGGCTGCACAATGTTTTCTTCATCAACAGTTTCACTTCTGCAAAAACCCTAACAAAACAAAGCTATTTCTGGGAATAAAGTTAACGGCAGATAAGATATCTAGACATACTGGGACTGGGTTTTTTTTTTTTTTTTCGAGGGTTGAAGTGTGTTAAACTAGAAGAACAGACTGCATTTAAAATGCTTCAAAAGCCTATCTCACTTTGAAAACCCCCTAAACAGATTGTGTGTTTCCCAAAGGTGTGTTGATGCCTTTGACTCTTTCACCCGCCAAACCCCAAACCAAACCCCCCAAACTTATAACTCTTCCTGAAGCTAGAGTTGCTCAAAATAGGTGTGATTGACAAAGTTCAAGAAAAGTGAAGCTGAAGGCTTTGCCTCTGGGTGACCTTTCACAGGACATCACGATTGATATAGAAGTGAAATCTAGTATGTATACGCCTGCCTTTAATTAAGAAATTCACCAGGAAACTTTAGGATGTATGTTTAAACAGAACTATTCTAAATGCCTTAGTTGCTTGCAGAGGATGCCTCAGGGAAGGCACAGTGATTCCATTTCGGAAATTACAGAAATATGTATATATTCATTTAAAATTGAAACTTCCTACCACAACCACCAAACTTTCCAGGCTCTGAGCAGAAGAGAAGCTTTAATTTGGTTATACAGCCAGGGGGACACCCCCCCCACTTCCCTTTGCACATTTGATGAAATACAAAATGTTAGAGAGCTGTCTTTCTAAAACATAAACACCCCACTTTACTTTATTTTCATCTGTGATTTTCCTTTGGCTCCTGATTTTTGTCTTCGTAATGACATCTTCCTCATCTTCCCCCCCAACTTATTTTTGGACCTCGTATGTCCCACTTTGCTTTGCCCAGTTGAACCACAGAAACTGACGGAAGTTATGTTTATTTATGTATGGACTTTAAGTCAAAGTAGTTGGTATATAGATCTGAGATGCAAATTGTGCTGCTGGTCTAGATGAACGTAATGGTTGGTTCCTTGCCATTATTTGCCGTGTTTGCACTTGAAGCTAGTAATAATCCTTCCCATCCCATCCCACCCAGTTGTTTTAAGTGATCTAACAAACACTGCCTGTTTGAATTTAAACAGTGGATCCGCAGTTGTCAGTTGAATAAGTACCTTCAATTAGACAGCGCTTTCCTCAAATGCAGACAGTTCTTGAATGAGCTCTGAAATACTTTAGAAGGAAAGGAGCGCGCTCTTAAGATGGAGAACGAAGGGACGAGGAGACGCTGTGAATGTCGCAGATATGTCCCTGCTACGAAGGAAAAAATTAAACCCTGGATATTTTTGGTTTATAATGAGATAGACCGACCATAGAAAAACCGTGCTTGCAGATTTATTCGCTAAATCTAGAATTTCCAAGCCATCACTTCGAGCTCACCTCTTCTTGGATCTGAGTACAGAATCATATTTGCATTAGAAGCTGGGGATATTGCCAGAGAAGAGGAAACGTGGTTTTAATGTATGGGTGACATCAATTATGTGACTTGGACAAGTAATTTTTGAGAGTAGTCTTTAAAGCCATTCTCTTGGACATACTGTTTCATTTCCTCCACCTTGTCTGCCCTCTTCACTTGAAAAAACCTCTAGTACAGCGGGGAGGGGAAATGGATACCCATTGACCCGAGTCCAAAGAAGCCCTAGGTTAAGCCTTTCCACAACCTCGTTGTAAAGCCCTAATGCTGGAGATCTGAAAGACCACTAACTGTCTGGAGTGTCTGGAGGGCGAGCAGCAGTGATGCGAAGCCTGGTTGCTGCCATGCTCAATGCCCTCTGCCCCGTTTGCTCCCCACCCCTCTGGCTGTTTTCACACCGAAGTCAGTTCCAAGCGTTCATGGTCTTCTTCCCCCTCCCCTCTTCCTGCCCTTCTTTTTAACAGCAGGAACGAGTGTCATATACACCTCCCGAGAGCCCGGTGCCAAGTTACGCTTCCTCGACTCCACTTCATGTTCCAGTGCCCCGAGCGCTCAGGATGGAGGACGACTCGATCCGCCTGCCCGCACACCTGCGTGAGTGTTGGCGCGCATGCGCGCGGGGGTGGGCCGGAGGACAGAGCGGCTGGGAGCGGAATGGTTGCCGGCGCGGGGGCGGGGCTTCAGGCAGGACATTGGCCTCCCTCTTGGGGTCCGCCGTGGGAACGTCACAGTCTTCTTTCACCCCCGCCGCCCCCTCCCCCCGCCATTCACCACCCCATTGACGGCTTTGAAAAGCTTGAGACCCCTGTCCCTTTCTGACCTGTTACCCCCGACTCTGGAAATGCGCACCGTAGAGCAAGGTCAGCTACATCTCCTGAGATCTGAAAGTGAACGTTTTGGGAAAGTTTGTCTCTCTTCTTGAGTTCACGCGTGGCCGCTCGTTTTCATCTTTTCGCAGGCCCTACATTTGGGGCACTTTCTGAGTCAGATGCTCTCCCTGTTTGATTTTAGGCTGTGTTGCTCTTCCTTTCTTTATACGGAGGGCCTCCCAGCCTGTTTTTGTTTTCGTTTTTGTTTTGTTTTTTGTTTTGTTTTGTTTGCTGGCTGCTTTTCTTTCCTTCATTTGGCCTTTCCCTCCATCCTTCCGTTTGCTCCCCTCTCCTGCTTTTCTTGCACCTGCATTGCCTTCCCGGCTGCAGCCTTTGTCGTCTCTCCAACCTTTCTGTCTCAGGTCACCTCTGCCCCTTGCCTCTCCCGCCATCGATCTGCAGCGTCGCAGAGGCTCAGCGCCAGCGCACGTGTGCGGCTGGGGCCCGTCTCCAAAGCAGCCGACACCTGTCATTTCCTTTTCGTCTTCCTTTCCTGCGCTGCCACCCAGCCTCTCGAGGGTACAGTGCGATGGGGCAGCCGGGGAGAGCGAGGCACCTGATTCCCACCCTGATCGCAGTGTCCAAGAAAACGCCAGGCTCTCTGGCTTGCGTATCGTCCTCGGGGCGCAAGTCCAGGTGGTACGGAGTACGGGGGTCACCTTGGCCCTTCCCTAGCTGATTCCTGCGACTTGAGTGGCAGCGCGCGCGGTTGTGCCTGCCGCCTTTCCCTGGCCTGGTGACGCTCCCCGGGATATTCACCGCCTCTTGTTCCCGTCTCTCCTCGGAAGCCAGAAGGTTGCTCACTGAAAGGGGAGAACAGAAGGAGAAGAGGGTGCGGGCTTCTCTTCCCTGTCCCTGCGATAAATCAGGGAACCGGGAATCGGGTGACTGACTGGGTTGCTGGGAAGTCGCGGGGGAGTCTGGCTGGCTCTTCCTCCTCCTCCAGTGAGGATGCCTGATGGGCTTCGGGCGAGGACTTGAGGGCCACGACAGTCCGTCCCCTCCTCCAGCTTGCTGTGTCCCACACTGTCTACAGAGTCGCCACAAGTTACAGGCGGCATATTCCAGCTCCACGTGGGCAGAGGTAAAGGGCACAGCTCCACCCTGCCGTCTCCTCCACAAGATGAGATTGGGACCATAGTGGGGCCAGGCTCATGGCTGTGGGCACCCTTGTCCTCCATTACCTAGAGCATCGTGGCCCCAGTAGAGCAGACAGGACTGGAAAAGAAACCACAGGCAGGTCATAATCTCTTTTCCTCCAGAAGCTGTCCTGTGACCAGTAGCATATCCACTTCAGGAATATTCGCTTCCCAGTCGAGCATGCTTGATTATGCCGTGCAGAGCACTCCTACCGTCTAACCTCGTTCATTTTGTTTATTCAACACTGCGCTGCGCCAGGCACTCTTCTCGATGCCCGGGATACAGAAATGAACACAGCCCGCCAAACTCCTTGCCCTTATAGAGCTTCACGTCTAGTACACAGAAAAAGAAATATGTGAACTTTGATCCCAAACAGGCTGAGATTTCTTTCATAGCCTTTCATCCCTTTCTTTTGAGACATCTGGCCCAAGAAGGCCCTAACTCTTGGTTTGCCTCTGGATGCCTTTAGTTTTGGAAGCTCTTTTACCACCCGGGACCGTCTCCCCAAAAGTAGTGACCATGGCAAAAACCAGCCAAGAAACACACCAAACTAGGGGACCTTAATTCTTAATTAGTTCTGCTGTTGAACCAGCTGTTTGATTGTGAGTCAGTCCTTACAATACTCAGTTTTCCTACGATACACGATTGCAGTGGGTCAAGAGACTGTCTCCTGGCCCTCTTACCTTTACAGTATCAGGATCTCATTTAAAGAGGCATTCTGCCTACTCAGAACTGTATTTTCTATGCCAACACTCTTCTGGGGAAGACGGTTGCCTCCCAGGCCACAGCTGGACTGCCGACTGCTCCCTGCGCTTCCACACGATCGTAATAGCTAATATTTGTCGGGGGATTACCCCGGACCCGGCACTGTGTGAAGTCCTTTATGTAAATTGTTTCATTTCATTCTTCCAGCATGGATTTGTGTCCATGTCACACGCAAGGAATTTAGGGATTAGAGAATACGTAACCTGCCAAAGCCACACAGTTAGGAAGAGAGAGAGAGAATCGGGATTCAGACTCAGTCCCGCCTGACCCCAGAGCCAGGCTCTTACCTACTGTGCCACTGTGTAAGTGTGTAAGTATGCCTTGGATAGATGGATGAATTCAGGGTTGACGCTTAGCCAGTATTCACCGGTGTAGCTGTAGTGGCTGGAATGGTGTATGGCTGGAATCTTCTCACCGGTCAATGAATGGTGGGATAGTTTGCTTATCTCCCTCGGATGGGTGGATGGAGGGATGGACAGACCCTCCACATATATTAGCATATCTAGGATTATCATATATAGCATTGTAGCCCGTTACTGCTGACTTTAGAACGTATTCAGTTGTTAGAATATGGATTCAGGTCAGGGCGATGCCTTCTGTCTGGCAGGCTGACTCTCAAAGGCTTCTGGGTGATCTGCATGAGCCCCGTTGGTTCTGACATCTGGAGTGAATCCTCTGAAAATGGAGGTTCCCAGGCTTTTGTTGTTTGTCCTCAGCTGGGGCTTTCCACATGAGGCTGAGCCGCCTGCCCTGCTCGCCTGTTCCAGGATTCAGCTGCACGTTGGGCTGTTTGAGAAACCTCTCGTGTAGCCCCTAGGTTGGTCGAGGCTACGCCATGTCCTTGAAGACGCATCCCAGCTGGGTTTCCAAACCTAAAAGAAAATAAATATTCTAACAAGGGAATTGGGTTCTTGCTGTTTTAATCTGGGATTCCAGACAATTCCCAATGGAATGCTCATGGAAAGTACGGGGAAGAATCTGGAAGCCAAGGCAGCAGCAGGACATTTATGGTATTGCGAGGTTGAAAGCATTTTTAGCTGCTTGTTTTAAAGGGATACTCACCAGACTGGTATGCGTCAGAGTAGCTTCTTTTCACCATTTATCCTCATGGATCTCCAGATAAACCGCCTGTCTTAACTCTTTCTTTTTCTCTTTTCATACTTAAGTCAAGATACAGCCTTTCCTAGTTGGAGGGAGGGTAGGGGTGATCATGTTTAAGATTCGCATAGGAGGGGTTCTCGCCATCTTGTTCTGCAAACTAGAGCTGTATACAAATTAGCAAGCTGTTGGGAAGTAGAAAGTAATGCCTTTCCTTCTACTGGCCTGTGATAAAAACAAAGTGGTAAATGGAGCAAAGTGTTAAATGGCGAGTAAAGAGGACCTGACGGGTCCAGGTGCGGTGGTCTGGGCCTAGGAAGGGGGCGAGCAAAGGGGAGAAGGGCCCGCCCCGCACTGGCCTGGCCTGGCCTCCCCACAGCTCACGTGTGCAGGCTTGTGGCTGCCAACACAGGTTCCTGGAACCTTCCTGTTCTGCTAGGAGAGCAAACATAGGTATGTTTATTGACAAGATGGAAAGGCCTTCTTCTTCTTCTTTTTCTTCCCCCCTGTCCTTCCACAGAGGATACTGACTTAATTTTTAAGCTTGAGGGTAGAAGAGCTGAAGTACAGCAATTATACCAGGTCAGCTGAAAGACACACAAAGCTCTACTCCTTAAAGGGAGCCTAAGCCTCTCGTTGTTCCTTGAAAACCCAGAAAGGACTGAAGGCCCCAGAGAGTGGCTGGAGGAGCTCGCTATCTATTCTCTAAGCAGTGAAGGCTATCGCCTCATTTTCACAAGGGACCTCCTGGGGTGAAGGGGAGACATTTTCTCATTTGTCTGCCCAAAGACCGCCTTTTTCTGAGTTTCTGGGGGAGCATGGGTGTTGCGGGGGGGCCAGAGGTGCCCCATGAGGTGGTGCCCACTGTGTGAACCACTCAGCCTCAAGCAGTGATGTCCGGGGCTGCCCATCGGATTACAGTAAGCGTGCTTCAGATTCATCGGCAGAATTTAAATCACTAAGTGTCTTGTTTTTACGTTAAATCCCCTTTTGCACGATCATTTTGGATTTAGTGGTTATAATCCCATCTAATCACAGGTTGACGTGACGCTCTCTGCCCAAAGACTTTGCACAGTTTCACAGTGCCAGTTGGGCCTTCTAATCTCCCCGCGAGTTGGTATTTAAAAATCGGAACTGAGGACTCATTCATCATTTTTAATAGGGTTACGGTTTATGATGTTGCAGGTTAATAAATAGCCATAATAGCCGCTCAGAGTTTTCTAGAATCGGAACACCAGAAATAGTCCCTTGGCTCTACTTCCTTTCCTTGTGAATCTTTCAAAATTCTTACATTACTACTCCTACTTGTGTGTTTAATAATTTAATTTAATGCCTGCCTTTGGAAACGTTACCTCGTTGCTCACCCACTTCGTGATTTTTGCCTTCTCAGCACAGTAACTGAATTGAAGACAGTCACGTGGTGAGCAAGGCTATATTAGAACCACGATAGTGCGAAGAGATGTACTGCCTCTCTTTTCTAATTAGCTGGAGCAGCCCACAATTTTATACACTTGCAAGTTAATTTTATTCCCCAAGAAGAGGCAAAAATGGGAATTAAAGGTAATCGTAGTTAGTATTTTATATTGTTAGGAGCGACGGCATGTGCTCATATATATTATCTCATTTAATCAGGCAACAGCCTTTGAAGTAGGTGTTACAGATTCTGTTTTATGGATGGGCTGACTGTGGCTCAGGAGGCTCCACCAAATCTTTCAGATTCAC